CAAAACAAAACTTAATATAAGACTCTATCTTATTTTTGGGGAAACGCGGTGCTGACAGAGTAGACTCACCAAATCAGACATTTGCTGATTCAGTGGGTCTACTCCACTTGTGACTTACTATGCTAAGCAACAGAGTATCAGACAAAATAATCAATAAAAATGAAAGCACAACAAACCTTTTCTGAAACTAGCAAGAACATACATTGAACTGTTAGAGAAAAGTGCAATTCACAGACGTAACAAGAGTGATATAAATTAAATAATAAAGTGAGGTATTACACAGTAAAGGCCCACTAAAACAAATGCCTTAATTTTTTATATGTTACAATTGTTCTTCCCATTGAATTTCTTATGTCTTATGTCTTATGTCTTATTAGAATAATGGCTTAATATGAATGTCATTGTTTTAAAATGTTACAAATTGTTTCTACTACAGCTTTTGTTCGTTAGACATCAGTTCAAAATTGCATTCTTCAGTGAGCTGAAGCAAGACACACAAAATGCTCTAAAGTAAGTACTATATCACGTTGTGGAGGGGTGGAACTGCAAACACAGGACATCATTCTGCTGGTGTTCTTGAAACAGTATGCTGCTGATCTCCAGGAGTAAATGTGCACTCCAGAGTATGTATTCCTCATTGAGTCGTTACTCTAAAACAGTGGTTCTTAACCTTTGTTACTCAGATGTTTTTGAACTGCAACTCCCAGAAACCCCAGCCAGCACAGTTGGTGGTGAAGGCTTCTGGGAGTTGCAGTCCAAAACTCCTGAGTAACCCAAGGTTAAGAACCAGTGCTCTAAAATAGGAGCAACAGTGCATTCCTTCAACACCAAAAGTACTTGTTCAGGATGAAAAAAGATTCTGATTCCTTCAACACCAAAAGTACTTGTTCAGTTCTTCAGGATGAAAAAAGATTCCAGCTGAAATATTGGTTTCTTCCCTTGGACCAGTGCTCTAACTGAAGGATTCCACAAAGATTGCTGTGGGTTTTTTTGAATCAGTGTGATACAGTGAACATTCAGTTTGGTGTTTGTGTTCTAGAGGGATTAATTATTTCTTCAGGTAGAAGGAAAGACACAGCACCAAGATTTGTTACGTTATAAATTGTATGTTCATGGCTTCTTCTAAACTTCTTCTTCAGAAACTACAGAACTGCATATAATCTTGTCCATGAATTAAGAGCTCATGAAACAAATATGTTGGAAATCAAGACCATGGCAGGATTTATTAATTACAAGGTAAAAATGTTGATTTAACCTTAACGATCAAGAAAGCAGCTTTAAAACTGAGCTTGTAGTGATATTTAAATAGGCTAACATCCAGGTTGTAGGTTGCTGACTAGTAGGAGTCTCTTGGATTTGTAATCAGGTGGGTAACCTTTTTGCATGTGACAATGATAGATAATAGGATGCATATGGCTTAGTTAGAGTGAACATTGATGTCTGCTGTCTCTCGACACAAATTTCAGATTTCATACCAAGTAGAGATGGGGGTATTTGTATATGAATACCTCCGCACAGGTGGACATAACAAGGGTCCGGCCTCCTGGGGCTATACCGTCCACGCACCTGTCCACTGCTGATGCTGGCTCCGTGCTGCCTTCCAATCGTTCCAGACCTTGTGGTCGACTAGCCACTCCTGGCAGAAGGAGGGAAGACAAGCCTTCCTGCCAGGCTGATGAGTGGCTAGTCGACCGTGAGTTCCGGAGTGATTGGAAGGGAGTGCGGAGCTGGCAGTAGCAGCATACGGGTGAGCGGACACTCGTTATGTCCACCTGTGCGGGGGTATTCATATACGAATACCATCATCTCTAGTACCAAGTCATGGTTAAGGAAGCTTGGCATGATCTCTGAATTGTCCAAGTGTAGATGATATTATTGTTCTGTCTCTGGAGGCTGCTGCACTTATGGAGTGCTGAGCAGAAAGCTGATTCTGTGGTATAGCTTACTGGTATGTTTGGCTTGGGTTACAAATATGATGATGTATAAACAGAACCATAGTGTGAGAGGGCCTCTACATAATCATAGGTAGTTGTAGCCAGTGAAAATACTTGAAAAACACCCTGTTTCCACAAAAATAAGACCTAACCTGAAAATAAGCCCTAGTATGATTTTTCAGGATACTCATAATATAAGCCCTACCCCAGAAATAAGCCCTAGTTAAGTGAAACTCCACCTTCCACCATTCTGCAGTAACCAGAAGATGACATGATTGTATTTAAATAAATGTAGATGGTTGTAAATAAAAAAAATCCCCTGAAAATAAGCTCAAATGCATTTTTGGAGCAAAAATTAATATAAAACTCTGTCTTATTTTCGGGGAAACACGGTGTAGGACAGTGGAATGAGAAGTGAGGCTTTGGTGAATGTAGGAGGGAGTTGGTGTAATGATGATTTAATGGGCCTAAAAATGATACACTTTTTTAAAAAACTCCGTGTTTTTTAGCTTTGGGACTAAACCAAATTATGGATTGGGACTTGCAAAATCTTGGATGAATGAATGAATGATTATCCAATATAATAATTTTATTGTTTTAAATATTTACTTAGTAAGTTGCATATAATATGTGAATGAAATATCTATGTTTGTCGTGCTCCTGAAACTACTTTCCCCTCCCAGTTATTATTCATCTAGATTTAAAAAAAGGAAGTTTATTAAATCTTAGTATTTAAAGTAAAAAAAGTTCCATTGAGAGGGAAATGAGATTAGTAATTCTGTGCTGCTGATCAAATTCCTCCTGAGGGCAGTTTGTTGCTCAGCAATGTTCTTAATATCTTTGAGACATTGATTAGGATTACATCTTCTGAATGCTTTCATGCTTCTGTTCCTCAGGCTTTTCATTTTGTAACCTCTTCATTTTGTGTGTCTATAGAAAAACAATCACATTACTTCATGTGTATTGGATAAACAGCTTTGGAAGGTTCAGGAGCCAACTTTCTGCCCCTAGGACATACTATGGGCTGCACCAACCCTGAAAATGTAAAAATAAATAAATAAATAGCAACTTCTTGGTTTTTGAATTCTACTTTTGTTTTTTGTTTGTTTTTTGTTTGTTTTTTCCCCCTAAATATATATTTATTCAGGATGAGAGTTAAGGGAAAGTATTCCCCATTTGTATAGCAATATCTCTAATCTGGAGATGTCGAGGAGTGGAAATTGCATCTTTTTTTTCTCTGATGGGGGACACAGGGCACCAAAAATGGCCTTGGAAGTTTGCTGGCAACCCGTGGGATGCACTTTGCCAACTCCTACGATACATAGTGCTAAAAAGGCTTTGGGTTTAAGAAGTGGAAAAGGCTGGAATAGAGTACTGAAATTATGATACGAGTAACACTAGCTTGTCTGCTTTTATTCTTACTATTAGCCTACCACAATTGTAATGTGTTGTGAATCTTAGTTGTTGACCATTGCAAAATATTCTAATCAAAATATTCTAACTTCAAATCTTTTCAGATTTGTCGCCTGTGTTTTCAGCATAATACACCCCTGGATGCAATTGCACAATTCAGGAAACACATAGACTTGTGCAAGAAAAAAATAGGGAGTGCAGAGTTGGCTTTTGAACATGCTGCCTGGATGTCGAAACAGTAGGTTGTTTTACTAAGCAGTTTTAGCACCATTGTTAGTGGAATCAATGAGCTGATTCAGGCTAAAATTCAGAGCTTGTTGATAAGGCATTAATTTAACACATGAATGTTAAGACCACCTCTTTTGCATTAAACAAGAAGACAAGGGAATTTATGCATCTGAAAAGTAACATTTTCAAAGTAACAAACGTTACTTTTAAACCATTACTCTCTTAAGACTAAATTAATTCCTCTCATTTAATGCAAAAGTTAAATTATAATTGTTAAATGCATGTGCTACGTCGAAGCTCTATTAAAATTGATGTGTCACTTAAAATTTACAGGGGGGGGGAGGACAAATGCTTTGAGCATATGCTTTTAAGTCTCCCTTGAATTGTGCAAGACAGAGGTCTTCATGGACACAAAAAAGAAAGATGCTCTGATATTGTTTGTCTCTACTGGTTGGTTTCAGAAACATTGGAATTCCCCAAAAATGTATGTCTTTAGGTGAAGGCAAATTATAAAATTGTACATTGTCATTTGCATTGCATTTATTACTCCTGTGAATGGCACAGGATCTTTTAATACTTGGTTTCATAAACCAAATAATTCTTACAATGTCAGGCAATCTAGACTTTAGGTGTCTGAGAGAGGAAGGATGGCTTGCAGAAGAACCACATTTATTCTCTAAATGTTCAATGTATTTCACAATCTTCCTGTGTTTCACATCAACTGCTACTCGGTAGTTCTGTGTGGAGGGCAAATCAAACACTATTCCCATTATACAGAAGACTGAGGATGAAATTACGTGCTTAATGTTACTTGGTTGGTTAGTGAAGGAACTGGGGTGTGACTTAAAGTCACCTTTGGCCAAACCACAAACTGTCTTTGGTGAGAATTGTTCTTCATGTGCTTATTAAGAAGCCGAGGCATTCTTAGCTTGGATGTGTTCAGTATCCATTTTGTATCATGTACTTCATTTAAAAGTTTCTCGTTTTAAAAAAATTCTCGGTAGTTATTTTGTATCTGGATTTACTTGTCTGAAGGACTGACTGGTATTTAACAAATCAGAACTACAAATAGCTTGTTGAAGCCGCAGTGATTAAAAATTCTCAGAATGTGTCCAAACACTTTTATTTATTATGGACTTGAGAAATAACAGGTTATTGCTCTAGAACAGTGGTGGTGAACCTTTTTGGGCTTGCGTGCCCAAACTGGGGAAAACCACAACAACAGTGGGTGGTGTGCGGCAGCAGCAGCAGAACCAGAAGTGGCGGTGGTGGAACTGGAAGTGGCAGCAGAAGGGGGAATCATGGCACAGAGGTGCCTCGAGACCCTACTCTGGATCCACTGCCAGCACCAGCTGCTCCGGATCTGCCTGCCGAAGCACCAGCACCACGGCACCAGGTTTGGCTGCATGGGCGGGGGGGGTAGCAATCTGGCAACTTAAGCTCGTGTGTTGGCAGAAAGCGCTCTGTGTGCCAGCTGTGGCACGCGTGCCATAGGTTTGCCATTGCTGCTCTAGAAGGCCATTTGTTCTTGCCCAAATACATTTTAAAATAGTTGTGTGCATGTAGGATACATACCAGATACAATAAACTTCTGAGACAAAAAATGAGAAGCATGTCCATTATTAAGAGCGATATTGGAAATAAAGGTATAGTGAATCAGATATTACATACATACTTAAAATAGACTGCATGCAGCTTCCATTCATGCAGTGGATAGTATTACAGATAGTGATTTTTTAAAAATAATTCAGAGATAATTAGTCCTAGTGGAATCACTTAAATTGCTTTTAAAAAATTGAAGTGTATATGGAAGGCATAAAAATTGCAACATATACTGATGTATTTTTTGTTTTGCTTTCTTTTTCATTGCTCTGCTTTGTCTTGCCCTGTGTGTTTAGGTTTCCCCACATGGCCATGAGAAATGTAAAGTTTTAGTTTCAGTTTTTGAGATTAGGATGTGAAGTATAGCTTGTGAATTTTATGTTGCCTGCTCCACTTCTGTTTTCAGCTCCTAGTTCAACTGTATGTGTCTGTATTTTTCAAAACAGATTTCAAGCTTTTGGAGATTTGTTTGATGAAGCTATTAAATTAGGTTTGACAGCTATACAAACTCAAAATCCAGGATTCTATTACCAGCAAGCAGCATACTATGCACAAGAGCGGAAGCAGTTAGCTAATATTCTTTGTAATCATGAGGTGGGTCAAAGGCAGTCTTATGATTCTCTAAACTCCCTTGTATGACCTTGTTTTTTATAAGGTTTTCTATACTAAGCAGCTTCCTTATTTAGTGTTTTCCTACATACCTTTAACTAAGTGTGCTTCTGCATGCTGCAAGTGGATTATGTTACTCATTGATCGACCTTCTTTAGGCCACTGAGACTTCTGTAGTTGCAGTAACATCAGGAAGTACTAATGTGCTTGTGGCTATATGTTGGCATTAATTCAGGCTTCCCTATATGTGGTAGTGGAATATTCCTTTGGAATAATCTCCCCTCCGAGATTCGTCTGGCCCCTTCACTGGGTACTTTCAAAAGCCAACTTAAAACCTGGCTGTTTAGGCAGGCCTTCCCTCTGGGCATCACTTTATTTTTTCTTTCTTTCTCTCTCATCTTGAATGATTGTTTATTGTTGTAAATTGTTGTTATATTTTAAGTGTTTTTATTCCACTTGTTGTGAGCCGCCCAGAGTAGTCAAAGACTAGATGGGTGAGATATAATTTGAATGAATGAATGAATGAATGAATGAATGAATGAATGAATGAATGAATGGTGCAGTTAACAATGGGCATGGGTTGCCAAAAAGAAACCACCCATACCCAGAATATAAAAATAATTCTGAAAACAGAACTGTTTCTAATATCAAAGTGAATTTTGAATCAGCAACAACTCATAAAGAGATAACCAGGTCATTTCCAGCTTGTGAGCAAGTGTGGTGTAGTGAATAGATGTTTGAACCAGGACTCAAGAAACCTGGTTTCAGATCCCTGCTTGGCCAGGATCTAGCAGTAGTAAACCACTCTTTGAGCATCTCACGTATCTTAAATGCTATTTTTGCCACAAGTCAGAAGCAATGTGGCAGTATTTAGCATACACAATACAATATCCAGATTAAACACTAAAAACAACCTTTCAGGTGTAATAGTATTTTCACCTAGTGAATCCACCATGAAGGTGCATGCAGTAATCTCTTATAAAGCAATAATTTTCTGTAATTACATAAATGTTGTCATTGTAAAATTCCCATGAAAATCTGCAGCCTTACTCTGTTATTCTAAGTGATTTTGTTTGGATACAGACTCTGATGATAGACCATATTAGATCTGTGTAATAGAATGCCTGTAGCAATGTTTGCTCCCTAAAATTACCTGAAAAAAACCCTATTAAAAAAGGAAGTTAAACTAATGTTGCTTTAATCGCCATGTGTTGACCAACTTTGCTGGTCCAGGTCTCTTACCTGTTATAGGCTGGATTTCTGTCATGTAAAACATAACTTCCTTCCCTATCATGGCCACATTAGCAAGCTCTCAGTTATTTATGCATTCACACAATCCTGGGCTGTTATACATGTGTGTGAATTCCTTTGCCTTCAAGAGGGTCATGTTTATGTATACATGGGTTCAGTTTACTGTTGTAATGTTTGAGATATGTCATTGCATCTACATCATCTGTTATGCTCTACTGTCTCCATTATGTGAAATTTTGTCTGATCTCATGTAAACCTAGAAAGTCTTGGAAGTTTTTCCTTGGCTTCTGCCTCCCCCCCCCCATGTTGTATGCTTTGAAAATCATGAATTTAAAGTTATCATTGTTGAATTTACAGCCTACTACAGTGTATCCCAGTCCAGATCCATTGGAAACCCAAACTGGAACACTTGACTTCTATGGACAAAGGCCGTGGAGGCAGGGAATATTAAGTAATTTTTTTTCTGTGTCTTACCTATTGATTCTGATCAATAAGAACAAAATTTTAGTTAACAGCGACCTTAAATACATGCTCTTCCTTTTGCAAACACAGGCCTCTCTCATAGGTAATGACTTTCAGTGGAGGAAAGAAATCTTCACGCATATTACGGTATTTTGTATCTGGAAATCTGCTCTCTCTAAAATGAATGGTACAGCCTATGCATGGAAAAGCTACCTGTATTTCACAGCCCATATGTGGATTTGGGTTAGAATTACTGTGAAGTGATCAGCATTTTAAATAGGATTAAAAATAGGATTTCAAGATTTAAAATATGTTTTACAAAATCTATGGAAACTTCGCGATGTGTGTCACTTGAATAGTTACTGATAACCTCTAAAATAGCAACACAATCAAATAAGTACTGCCCTTTTTGTATCACTGCTTTTATAAGGTCTTGACAAGAAACACTACATTGTGAGGTTAGAGCCTTGTAGTTAAGAAAAATACTTTTTCTACTAGGTCCATCTTAAAGCATAACAGATATATCTCCGATATCAGTACATTTCACTACTAGTATATTTTCAGAGCAGTTCTCTTAAAAGGGTAAAGAATACTGCTGCATTCTAGAACATTCTTCTCCTAAGATACAGCAGTGGTTAGAATATGAACACTCTTGAATTAGAATTACACTTGTAACAGCTATCTCAACCATGTACATACAGTTCATTATACATTTGGAGAAAACTTTTTAGAATGGACTTTTCTTTGGCATATGCAGGTTTTGACCTCAATGATCCTGAAAAGGAGAAAGTGGGAATTTTGGCACTGCAGATGAAAGAGAAGAAGGTTCTTCATTCTGTAAGTCTGATTTCAACAGTATTTACCCTTTGGTGTTGCAAATATAAATATAACAATATCAATGCTTTTTGTTTGCTAGGAGCTAATAATCACGTTGCTGAGTAATGCAGTTGCCCAATTTAAGAAGTATAAATGTCCAAGAATGAAAAGCCATTTGAGTAAGTTTCAGCTGTCAAAAATATTTAAAATATCATTAATAGTGTTTTTAAATACTGAAAATAATCAAATGTTCTTCTTCAGTGGTTCAGATGGGTGAAGAATATTACTATGCAAAAGATTACACCAAAGCTTTGAAGTAAGTATCATTTTTCAAGTGTCCTATTGTGTAGTTTTACAGTATTTTATAACTTAAGTGAGAATTAAGAACCTTATTTCACCATTGTATGAAAAAAGGAATTCTATTTTATATGTGTTTTCGAGTGTATATACACCATCATACATACAGATACTTGCATATATATGTACAAACATATAAATATATTCAAATTCAATTCTTATATACAAAGCTTGCCATATAGCAAGGAACAGTGGTAACTGTCAGATGTTATTTTTGGGCGTAACTGTGTTACCAGCACCATAACTAAAATAACATGGTGTGACTGCTTTTTAAACAATAAGCAATGTTCATCCATTATTTCTAAAATGCTAGTTTTGTGGTAGGTCATTTGGGGAGATTTTGGGACATTTTTTCTGTGTTTAAGCATAGTTTGTAATTTTAAAAAAATCCCCAAACAAGCATTGATTAAATGAAAGTAACAAGTAATAAATTACTCTTTAAAATAGTATTTCTAAGTACAGGATTGCCCCAATCTCTACAGTCATCCCATTCTGAAGGCAGCTGTTTTTGATACTTGTTTTCAAGCTTCTTATTCAGGTTCTGTGCTTGCTTTGTGTAAAAATAGCACTGAAAATCTGGCTGGCTTGGAAATTGTATTTCATGAATGTACAGGAAATATAGGGATTGAATCTAGCCCCCCTCTCCTATCCCCAAACAAGTGAATTGTCATTTTCCAAATGAACTGTAATGGCATTCTGTTCAGTGAGTGAACAAATAGGATATTGCATACTTTGCATGTTGCTGCATGCAGAATACTCTGGATTAATGTCAAAGACTTCTGGAACCTCAGGATAGGAAAAACATTTTGATTTGTGTGGTCCTGACTATGAACAGACTGCACTTAATGTATATCACTGCCTGGATTTGTAAAAGCTATCATGCCTGTTAGTCTATTTAAATATTTTTTTTCTCAATCTTCTTCCAGACTGCTTGATTATGTTCTGTGTGATTACCGCAGTGAAGGATGGTGGACCCTCCTTACTTCTATACTGGTCACAGCTCTTAAATGTTCCTATCTTATGGCACAAATAAAAGATTACATCACATACTCATTAGAATTGCTAGGAAGAGGTAAGGATGAGAATTTTGGTTCTGAGTTGTATTAATAATTACTTCGGTTTGAATGGTTTTTAGCTGTACTGACACATGATACTGTGTGCAGAAGATGTGTGCCCAAAACAAATGCTAAAGGACTACAGTAGTACCAATTACAGAGTCTACAGCAGACATAAGCAACTTCTGGAAGTCTATCGATCACACAGTAACCTCTGTGGGCCTTAGAGGACTATGCTCCAACAGTTTGTAAGAATTTGGAATATTCTAGACCTTTTGAGACATTTGGGGCAGTTTCACCATGATTTTGACTATACTTATTTCTTTTAGGCAGATGGGACCTTTTTTCAAAACTAGAAGTGACTGAAAATTTCCCCACATTCTCTAGTGCCTTTCTCATAGTTTTTAAACTTTAGTTATGTTGGGGACTCTGCAGACCAACTTTTCCCACCCTGGCCTGCAAAATATGAAGTGTCTGTATCTAACAGTGAACTTGCTTGCTTATAAGTGTGTAATGTGGAGGTAGAGGAGCCCCAGCCTGCACTGGGATTGTCAGAGCATCCATTTTCTATCTTACCTGCTACTTTTGCAAACTAACTATATTTCAAGGGATGAAGTGGCTGGAAAAGGTTAAATTATTTTCAAACATTTCAAGCATTTAAAAGGAAGTAACTCTGTTATAAATTGAAGATGGATGGCATTAATGTTTTTCCTTTCCTTTTTTAAATTAGCATCTACTTTGAAAGAAGATCAGAAATCTCGAATAGAAAAGAATCTAATCAAGGTTCTCATGGTCAGTAGATGTGTTTAACTTCTCTTAAATGATTCCCTGTATATAAGCTTGACATATGGAGCTGACCAATGAAATATTCTTTCTTTTAATTCAGAATGAAAATCCAGATCCAGAACCTGACTGTGATGCTACATCTGTGAAAGCTGCACAGAAACTGTGGACTGACAGAGTTTCTCTTGCTGGAAGTAATATCTTTACAATAGAAGTACAAGATTTTATTCCATTTGGTATGTATCAAACCTTATTTGAAGCAGAAAGCCACATATTTGCCTGCAGAATGACTTGACAAAATAATACAATAGATTTTATTTTATTTTATTTCTGATACTATATATCACCCCATTAGTGCAGAGCACTATTCTTGATGGTTTCCATAAAACAAGAAAAATAAAACCTCAAGCATAAAGTTTAAAAAAGCCAAAAACATGCAGTGAGCATTGATTGATTCATTAACAATTTAATCCATCTGTATATTACATTATTTTAAGTTATATTTTTAATGTGGAAGCCCTTTTCATACTCTATATGATTTACTTGATATAAGACAAAAGGCAATATTTTGGCTTATTTACACAGAAACCTGTCGAGAACGAGTGAGTAAAATAGTTATTTTACACTTACAAAACAACTGCACTCCATGATAAGCATATTAGTACAAGATACAGTGGTGCCTCGCAAGACGAGCGCTTCGTTTAACGAAGAATTAGCATAACAAAAAAGTTTTTGCGATCACAAAAGCGATTGTAAAACGATGTTTCCTATGGGTTTTTTTCGCTTTGTGATGATCGGCTACCTGCTTCACTAACCAATTATCGCAAAACGAAGATTTTGCACAGCTGATCGGTGGTTTCAAAATGGCCGCTGGGTAAAAAAATGGCTGCCTGCTGTTTTCTGGGACGGATTCCTCGCTGCACGGGCAGTGAAAATGGCCGCGTTATGGAGGATCTTCACTGGACGGTGAGTTTCAAACCCATAGGAACGCATTAATCGGGTTTTAATGCGTTCCTATGGGCTTTTAAAAATCGCTTTATGATGTTTTCGTTCTACAGCTATTTCGCTGGAACGAATTAACATCGTAATGCGAGGCACCACTGTATGTCTCACCCATGACAGGAAATAATAGAGCTATATTCTCTGGATCATCTTGAAGAGAGTAGAGAAATTTTACTTCTGTACAGTGTTTCACTTCAGCAGGGAAAAACTTTGAAGAGGGTAAATTTTTTTCATTTGCAAAGTTCAACAGAATATTCAAATCTATATAGTAGTCCACTATCTAAAATATTATCTGACATTGAGCGGGGAGAAACAGATGTGTGGACTGGCACTATTTACTATAAAGAAAACTAGTATGTATCTTTGCATTAAAAATTCAAAGAACAACAGGAGTTGCTGTGTTTTATTGTATTTTTAATCAGAAGCTCTGTTCTGCGTGTCTGAATCAATTTCTTGGATTGAAGCTATAGAATAACATTTCTCCTATAGTTTGCATTGAAAGGGCAGACTCTCTTTGGTTTTCTACATGCACGCAGCAGTGACCATGGAAATTGCCACAGTCAGTTGATGATGTGCCAGATGTGTGCTGGGCACATTAATTTAACATGTTGAATAACTTATTATGTTTTGTGGTTTTTCTTTTCCTTCAAATTCTAGTGCAGTGCAAAGCCAAATTTCTTGCTCCAAGCTTTCATGTTGATTCACCGGTCCAATTTGAGATATATTTGAGAGCTGATTGCCCACATCCTATCCGCTTTTCTAAGCTGTCTGTCAGCTTCAATAACCAGGTAATTTTTTAAAGTATTATTTTGAGGAAAATTAATGTCTTCTTGACAGAAGGCATGTGGTTGCCAGATTTTGCTGACCAGTTTAATACTATGAAATGCCTGGTTCACACAATTGCATTTCTGCATAATTAACCTGAGATACGAATTATCGTGAAGCACATGCACAGTCCTCCCTTTGTAGAAAGAGCAGACAGACGTGAAATTGCTCAGTTCACTGTAGCTTTTTCTTTAGAGCTACGAAACTGTGTGGCTTTGGAACAAGCCATGATATTAAGCCAATTTCTAATTGTAAATTCATATTATGACTTGTTGTGAAGCCGTTAACCATAATTTTTTGGCTTGAACAAAACAGGAAACTGTAGTTCATTGCAGCATCCTGGTTTGTTTGCTTATTCACATAAAGGAAGGAGCAGGAAGGGCTCTTTTACCATCATAGGCAGACCATGATCAGTGGTACCTTTTAGTATTTTTTACTTTTTTAGAACCTGCCTCCTAACCATAATTTTTTGGCTTGAACAAAACAGGAAACTGTAGTTCATTGCAGCATCCTGGTTTGTTTGCTTATTCACATAAAGGAAGGAGCAGGAAGGGCTCTTTTACCATCATAGGCAGACCATGATCAGTGGTACCTTTTAGTAGTTTTTACTTTTTTAGAACCTGCCTCCTTTTTATAGATGTTGGCCAAAAATCCCTAACATAGTAATTTGCACTAGAGTAGGACCATTGAATCAACCAAGGTTTAGTGACTCAGGTCCTCCATAAGGTCTGTTGATTCAAATGGGCCTGCTCTGATTTACTGTGTTAAAGTAAGCTGCAATTAGAGTAGGCCTATTTGAATCAAACTTGTGAAGGAGTTGACTCTCCAAATCCCCATTGATTCAGTCGACTTACTGTAGTGTAGTTTACTATACTAAGCAGCAGGATTTTGGCCATTGATCTCTCAATTTTAGAATGGTTTTAATAAGATATATAAAACAATACAACTTGATTCCTTTTGTGGTCCCTTACGGATCTGTTTTAAGTGATGAATAATGTTGGAGCAGGCACCATAAAAGAATCAAATGCTCTTTATAAGAAGGTGCTCATCTTTTATATTAAAACTGACATTTTAAGAAACCTTCTGTCAATTAACTTGAATGCACAATTTAGCAGGTCTGTCTAATTCATCCTTTAATATCTGGCATTTAATACTTCTGTTCAAACTAGCCTTCCCCTCCAGATGTATTGGAGTACATCTTTCATAGTCTGAGAATATCTGGAGAGTAGCAGGTTGGAGAAGACAGTATAAGTAAATCATCTGCTTTAAGCTTTTTATTTTGTGCTGAAAATATTTGCAATGTAAGCCTGTGCAATTTTACGTAAAAGTATATCAGAGGGAAAAAGTGGCAGGGGGGAAGTAAGAGTGCATCCTAAAGACTGCAGCACTAGCATCACCAATAAATGGAGTAGTTTCTCCTCATCAATTATTGCTGTTATTAAATAGCTTCAAAATGCAATGTGAAAACATGTATAGTTGCTTTTAAAAGAAGGATGTTATTTCAGACAGACTTGTAAAATGTTCTGCTCTGATATGAGGAGCATATTATGAGCTGTTCGGTTTGATTAGTGGAAATTCACAGTAATATCAGTGAAAGACTCTGTTGGAGTAGTTTCTCCTCATCAATTATTGCTGTTATTAAATAGCTTCAAAATGCAATGTGAAAACATGTATAGTTGCTTTTAAAAGAAGGATGTTATTTCAGACAGACTTGTAAAATGTTCTGCTCTGATATGAGGAGCATATTATGAGCTGTTCGGTTTGATTAGTGGAAATTCACAGTAATATCAGTGAAAGACTCTGTTACATTATTAATTAATTAATTAATTAATTAATTAATTAATTAATTAATTAATTAATTAATTAATTAATTAATTAATTAATTAATTAATTAATTAATTAATTAATTAATTAATTAATTAATTAATTAATTAATTAATTAATTAATTAATTAATTAATTAATTAATTAATTAATTAATTAATTAATTAATAATGTAACAGAGTCTTTCACTGATATTACTGTGAATTTCCACTAATCAAACCGAACAGCTCATAATATGAGGAATACAACCAGTATTGTGTTATGGAAGAAACTTATCAAAAAACTGAAAGCTTGGAACCATCCACACAGGAGACATTGTGTTTTGTCCCTGGGAAGACAAAGAAATTCACTTTCAAATTTGTGGCAAAAACAGAGGATGTGGGAAAGAAGATTGAGGTAAGCCCTTAACCAGTATTTGGAATGGTACCTTTAAAATCCTAGTGACATAGTTGATTATCGTTCAGCCTGTGTTAAAGACAGACAGACTGATCCAATGTGTGTATATTTTGACAAGAAGATAGTATTACTGTGTTTCCTATCAAACTAGATAAGATGCTTATACCATGTTTACCCAAAAATAAGACATTAGGGCTTATTTTCAGGGAATGTGTTATTTTTTTTTCATGTACAACAATCTACATTTATTCATATACAGTCATGTCATCTTCTAGTTGCTGCACAATGCTGCACAATGGGGGAGGGCGAGGTTTCACCTAATGGGCTTATTTGGGGGGTTGGACTTATTATGAGTATCCTGAAAAATCATACTAGGGCTTATTTTCAGGTTAGGGCTTATTTTCAGGGAAACAGTATTTTGAGATGTATGGGAGATTGTGGTGTTAAGAAACAATGTGATATGAAGTGACAATCTGAGGCAACATGATCTGCCACAAATCTTTATGGAACCCCACTGAGGTGAATAAGCATACAGTGGTGCCCCGCATGACGACAACCCCACTAAACGACAAATCCGCAGGACAGTGACTTTTTGCGATTGCTATAGTAATCGCAAAACAATGTTTCCTATGGGGGATGTTTGTTTGATGACGATTAGGTCCATGCTTAGCGAACCGTTGGTTCGCAAGACGACGATTTTTCCAGTTGATCGTTGGGTTCCTAAAATGGGCAGCCATTTTAACAGTTGATCGGCGCTCAGAAAATGGCTTCCCTATGGGCGATCTTTGCTGGATGACGAGGTAATTTTCCCATTGGAACACATTAAGTGGGTTTCAATGCATTCCAATGGGGAAACTGTTTTCCGTGGACGATGTTTTCGCTTAACAGCGATTTCAGGGGAACAAAATATTGTCGTGGTGCGGGGCACCACTGTACTATAATATGGAAATATTTTAGAATATGATCTATAGGAAAAAAATTAAATTGCTGAATTTTGGTTTTCAAAGGGTCAAAGTGGCACTTGAGTAGACATTTTAGAACACAGGGGTCCCCAACCCACAGCACGCTACCATTCCATGGCCTTCGCAGAACCAGGCCACAGAGGTAGATCTCCTGCCCCTTGCATGCACCCCCATGCACGCACAGAATGCATGCACTGGTGCCCTGCCCACCGGCACAAGTGCGCCCTGCTTTGGGTGGGCATGGCGCGCATGCACCCCATGTGTGCACGCCATGCCCACCCAGAAGCAGGGGGTGCTCTGCCCCCCATGCACAGACCCCGCCCCTCCAACTGGTCCACAGTTTGGAAAAGGTTGGGGACCACTGTTTAACAACACTGATGTGTATCAGCAGATTTTAATTGAACTCAGGCCAAGATGGTGCTTCTGACTCAGTTTTAAATCAAGGCAAATCTGGAAGTAGATTTTAGACATATTTACCATGCATTAAAATAAGACTGCGGAGACAAAAGTCCCTGTGATGCCTTTCTGTCTTGCAGATCACGTCTGTGGATTTATTTCTGGGTGGTGATACAGGGAGGTGTGTGATTTTGAACTGGCATGGAGGAGGGGGAGATGCTGCTTCCTCTCAAGAAGCATTGCTGGCAGCTCGTTCCTTCAAAAGGCGACCTAAACTTCCAGATAATGAGGTTCATTGGGACAGCCTTATTGTTCAGGCAAACACCATGTAAGTGGTGAAAGAGTACACACTATTGGAGAGGTTTTACAAATGTGAATTACCATGATAATTCCTTTTGTATCTTATTTTCATTCTGAGTCTTTCTTTTTGTTGTGTAAAAAGATGCTGTTAAAATAAGTAAAAATGGTGATAGTCTGCCTTATTTTCCACATTTTGTCTCTTCCCCCATAAACTTGAAAGTGAATTTCATTGTTTTGCAAAGATATCGTGCAATGTCTAGGAAGGCTTAAACAATAAGACAAGCTGTGTTTGGAATGTGAGATTAATTTTGATAGGATATAAATTATTTCCCACATAAAATGCATGTCATTCATAATTTGATATGGCATTTCAGTTATCTTACTTCATCAAAACCTTTCCCCAAACATATTAGTCCAGATCTTTTATTTTTGCTTTTTCTGATGGTCTATATTCCTGAGTTTGCAAATAATTTGGTGGTTGGTTGGGAATAGGACCCAGTTCTGGAATTCAGCAGAGCCATTGGAGAGGTCAAATTATATCACTGAAGGAGACATCCCTGCTCTGAGTCAGATGTGCCTAATATCTTCTTCAGCAAATACAGTGGTGCCTCGCTTAACGATGTTAATTGGTTCCAAAAAAACATCGCTATGGGAAAACATCGCTAAGCGAAACACCATTTCCCATAGGAATGCATTGAAAACCGGATAATCCATTCCAGTGGGAACGGATTACCGTCCTTAAGCGAAAATCGCCATAGGAAACATCGCTAAGCGAAACAATGTTTCGCCCATTGGAATGCACTGAAGCCTATTCAGTGCCTTCCAATGGTTTTGCGATGTCCGTTTTCGCTATTTTTCAAGTGTCTTAAAATTTTCAAAAACTGTGTTAAATGCTTGGGATCGTTAGTGCACCTTGTAAAACCTTTGCAAACTTAATTTGGCTTTGTTCTGACTCTTCGTTAATTTTTGGTGAATTTTCTTCTCCCCCATTGGATTGCATTGAACTGTAGGTTTGATCAGTGAAAAAGAAAATATTGAAAGTCAACAAAGGATTTGACAATCAGAGGGACTAAGATTAATATTTTTAAACAGGTGCCTTGGAGCATATGAAAAAACCAAGAATATTCTTTTCTTACTAAAATATTAATAGACAGGAAAATTCCATTCACATGGCAAACACTTGAAGGAGTACTCCTGAACTGGGAGACAAGAAGATATAATCTGAATAGCAAAATGAATGCTAGGAACTTTAGGAAAGAAATGAAACATAAACTGAAGCTGACAGAAGAATATCTACAGTTTTCCAGTGAGGAATCAGAAGAGGAACAAGAAGAAGAAGAAGGTAAAAGACAAAGAACTCCACCTCTACCAAGAAGAACCAGAGACAAGGAAGCTAAGGATAAAACTGGCAGTACAAGCCGTGCAGATGTCCAAATAAATTAAATTACTATAAATTAAATTACTATCAGTGAATGTCAAAGGGATGAATTCACCCCAGAAAAGAAGAAAAGTTTTTAATAAACTTTTTAAAGCCAAGGTAGAAATCACAACTCTTCAAGAAACTCATATTAAGGAAACAAACAAAAAGCTGTTAGAAAATCCAAAATTGGGTAAAATCTTTATAGCTTGAAATCAACAAAAGAAGAAAGGAGTAGCAATGTACATAAAAAAG